GCTTGGGAATTGTTGCAGAGATGTTTTGATTTATCTGTGCTGCGGTGAGGAGGAGTACCAGTGTGAAGCTGGCGGCAGATAAGGCTGGTGTTCACAGCTGTGCCAAGGAGAGCGGGAAAGATAGGGCATTCTGGAGTGGGGGAGAAGCAGGAATTCTTAATTTTGTGATATCCTTATCTTAATCCTTTCTCCTCTCTCTTCCACCCTCCTCGCTTCATCCAGGGTAGGTTAAACTACTCAGCCTCGCCTTTTCCACAAACACTGGCAGGCTGGTGGTTCCAGACCTGGGAATACATTGGGAGTCTGTTTCAGCAGTGGGATGGGTTTTTGGACGTAGGTCGTGTTGTGCTAGCAGAGCACAGTGCAGTGCTTGTGTGAGCTGGGTGGCTTCTGCAACGGATACCTGGCTGTTGGAAAAGTAACACTTGGTGGGAGTAGCAGTCAAGGGCTTAAAAGCACGTTTTTCAGGTCAAAAAATCTTATTTACAAACTCAGCTGTGGTCTTAGCTCTGAGGTGTTTTGTCCAAGGGGAGATAAAAGCAGGGAGGTGGGAGATGTAGGGGATGGTTCTGAACGTCTGCAGGCTGTGCTCTTGTCCCAGTGCTGCTGCTGCTCCCTGGGGGAGGAGGCAGTGACCCCACAATTGGGATCTCTTGGCAAATGTCCTGCCCTGTGCTTGGGGTTGGTGCCTCTTGCCTCTCCAGGCACTATCCCGTTTTGTTTTTTTTTCAGGGGTATTGAACCTGGAGCTGTGCCTCTAGCTGGAGGGAGGTTTCCACTGATACCCTCCCTCTGTATGGTGGCCCAGTTTCTGGGAATTTCAAAGGCCCTGGGCAAGTCGCACCTTGGCTTTTTGGCACTGGATGTCCCCTGCCTCCTGTTGTGCTGCTTATTTGCCTTTCTCAATGTGTTGCTTCAGCCTTGGCCATGTGTGTTTCTGGAGGTTTGTCTTATTTACATGAACAGTTCTCGGAAAGTTCAGCTGAAAAGCAGCTTTTTTTTTTCCCCTGGGAACAGCCAGGAACCACTAGTGTGTGATCTTTGTGTATAAAGTTGCCTTTCTCTGATTATAAACAGCAGCCCTAGGATGGATGTGTGGTGGACCTGTTTAGATTTAAACCTGACCCACCTCCTCGTTTTCAGTGCTGGCATCTCCTTTGAGCTTCTTTCCTGCCTTTTGCAGTAACACGTGGTGTGAGTTTTTTAACGTTTAAATTGGAAAGTCCTATCAAATTGTGTTGTCCTGCTCTAGGCAGGAGAGTATGATTTTTTTTTTTAATGATTTTTTTTTTTCCAATGCAATATCAGATACACACATTGCTCATTAATTCCCCATGTACCCTTTCTTCTGATGGCCTGGCAAGCCACAGAGAGCCTATTGCGTGCCCCAGTTAGTCCCTGGAAGCTCTGATCGAGGGAGGGGATCAGCTGGGAAGCACAGATCTGTGCCTTGGTTCTGCATCTGCAGTGGAAGAGCTGCTGCAAGATCAAGCTCTGCTGGCTATCCCTCCCAGAGCCCTTCATCTGGGCTTGTTTCCCCAACCCTGCTTTGCATCAGGCTGATGTGAGCTAATTATTTCTGAAATCCCTTTAATTGGTGGCTCTTTCTGGTCCAGCTGTTTGTACAGTCATGAGCAGAGTGAAGACCTGGGGCAGAGTAGCATCACCTTTATTTCCCAGGAAAGCAGGCTGGATCAAGGGGTTGACAGCATCCCTGGGGTCATTGATGAAGCAAGAAAGGCCTTTGTGTGGCTTTGTGGGCAAGGCTGGAAAATACAGCATTCCAGAAGCTTGCTGCTTTACTGGATGTTCATAGTGTGCAGCTGTGTGCTGAGATGTAGCATGGGTTCCTCAAAATTGAGTTGTGGCTGTGATGGTCTGGGGAACATTTCTGGGGTGATGGCAGTGGTTCTTCCAGACTCCTGGAAAGCTGCTCTGCAGTGGAGCTGCTCAGCTAGAATATTTGGCACCAAACTGGCTGACTGTGGAAGGGGCATTGCCCATGTCTGGGCTGACAAAGTCATCCTACGCTAAGCTAAACTGGGGGGACAGCCAGGGAGCTGGAATCGTGGAGCAGCACAAGTGCTCTGCCTTGCCTCTGGTGCCAAAACAGCCTCCGTGTTGCTATGAAAATGTGGAAAAACTTTCCACTTAGAACTGAAGTCTCATTTATGTCTGCCCAGAACCTGCTCTTGGACTGAATTTTATTTTCTAAGCAAATGAGACTTTCTGGTCCTTGAGGCGGTGGAAATAACTGCTCCACCAACTTGCAGCCCACCCGCCCTGCGGGGCCCGGGAGCCAGTGGGGGTTTTGGCAGAGGAAATGGTTTGTTCGGCAGGAGCAGTGCAGGGCTTGACTGGGGCAGTGGGCAGCACAGCTCTCTCAAACTGAGTTTGTGAGCCTTCTAAAAACTTGGTTTTCAGGGGACCACAGCTCCTCATATTGCAACCTTCAGACTGCTGCTGCGCTCCCAGAGACCCCTCCAGTCGCCCCCCAGACTGCAGACTACAAACTGAATGTGAAATGCTTAATAGGAGCCAAACTGCCTTGAAAAATGCATGGATGCAAAATTAATTTGAAAAATCTGGCCTTTTTGTGTATTTTATTTCTGGAGTCTCTTAACCTGCTCTAAGTTCTCACCTTATCTGCATTGTTACTCTGCTTGGCATGCTCTGCAGGCAGGAGAAGGGCTTATTAATGTGGGTTTTTACATAGATAGGTGGTTGTGAAGTACTATTGACACATGGAAATGTTGGTGGATGTTTAGAGAAGGATCAGCTGCTTTGTGATAGCTCTGTGCCAGTTCCCTCGTTCGAATATAGTTACGAAACCCAGTTGTAGCAAAGCATGTTTTTTTAAAAAAAAAAAAAGCATATTTCTGTGGTTTAAGAAGAAGAAAAATCAACCCCAAAACCACACACACCCCTCCTTAGTAAAAGTTTTGCGCACATAGGAAACAAAGGCATCAGCATTTGCTTGTCAGAGCTAATAAAGTTTGCTTGGATCTTAATTTTTCTGCTTGATTTCACAAAGTAATTGAAACTTCCTTTTTGCTGCGAGCCCTTTTCCCCCCTTCTTTTCCCTCTTTTTTTTAAATATTCTTAAAAGAACATCTTTTGGTCAGTGAGTTGATGGAATTTTGCTCAGGAGGCAGGCGCAGTTTGAGCGTACTTTGCAACTGGTCAGTCAAAGCTTATAGGACAAATTACTTGTGTCTGCAAGTCATTCCTCCAAGTTGAAAACCACCTAGACCAAATAAACCTTGAACTACAGGTTTTATAGGAGCTTTTGAGCATGTAAGTGAGGCTTTTGTAATCTCGGTGATCTGATAAAACCTTTAAAACCAGGGTTCCCATAAAGAAAATAGTTCCACTTGAGGTGATAAAAGCCACATCTGGTAAACTTTGCCTGCTACCTCCTGATGACCTGTGAAACAGCAAATAGTCCCCACTCCAGAGGAACCGAAGCCAAACTACTGGTGCCATACCCTTGTCGTGGAGGGGATGCACTAAAAAAAAGTTGATTTGACAGCAAAACCAACAGCCTTTGAAGAAGGAGCCTCTTCTGGCTCATCCTCTAGCTCACAGTTGATATTCCACGACTAAGGTGTCTTGCTGCTTTCCTCCCGGCTGGCACAGGGAGATTCAGAGGTTAGGATAAGGAGGAGCCTGCGTAATTGAAAGCAAACAAACAGCTAAGACAAAGAAAGAAACATAAAACAGCAAACCCAAAGCCACAAATAGAAAACAGACTTTCCAGATTGATTAGTTCAAATTTGTTTATTTGAAGTCCCAAAAGTTCACATTGTCACTCTTTTGAGGTGTCTCTCCAATTTGGCAATATGTTAGCCATGTGTTGCAGATCAGTTTTTCACAAGAAAGACCCTGTTTTCTGGTGTGTTGGTGTTGAATTGAAAGGAGGGTTGCAAGCTCCAAAGACTGATTTGTAATTGTGATATTGAGGTGCTGCTTTTGAGGTAATTACATTCTGTTAAACTTGTTTCAGGGAGAATTTTCCTTGGGCACACATAGTGCTAAAATGTACCGCTGATCACTTTTCCCCCAGGTTTAGGAAGACTGGTGCACTCACCGGCTTTGGAAATCAGTGGAAAAGTTTGGGTTTACTTTTGTTTTTCAAAGTGTTTTGGACGGAAAGGTGCTTCCTATCTTCAGTAACAAATCAACAGCGCAGCTGTATTTTGTACACACATAGATTTATATACACACACACACGCGCACATACATATATATATATATATGTGTGTGTGTGTGTGTATATATATTTTATGGATTTGGCTTAAACACCCTCAAGTCCCCAGACAGAGGAATTTCAGCTCCAGCCTACTAACTGTTGGCCATTAATGAGTCAGGTCTAAATGCCTTGATTGTGCCTGAGATTTCTAAGCTGAATCTTTGCTTAACGTTAGCATGGCAGGAATGCCTCCCAAGGACAAACGAGAACTTCCCAGGCCTTCCCATGCCTCTCCAGGAAGGAGTGAGTACATTTTGGGTTGTACTGATACCATCTCGTGCCTCGGTGCTATCAAATCGGGTGGAAGCTCCCCACTGCTCTGGTAGCCTGGCTCTGATGTTCTTTCACATCCAGGCACATTGTTTATCTTTAACCAAGGCTTGGATAAACTTCCAAAATAAATTACTGGAGTAGTCCAACTTGGTCTGCTTTGGCGTAGGTTTTCTTGAGTGACTCAAACGTTATAAATATGAAAGTAGCTAGACTTCAAACGCTGCTTTTGGACTAAGTTTTCAGAGTTGCCTTCTAAAGCAGCAAAGGGGAACATTTCCTTGAAGAAAATCTTTGTTTTTTCTCCTGTTTAAACCCCCGCCCTCCCCGTTTCTCTTTTCATCTGCACCCTTTGTTCACGTCTGCCTTCCTGATTAAGAACTAATCAGTGAAGATAGATTAGTCCGGGAGCATTGCAGCCCTTGGGACCCGCGCAGCTCCGGCGGGTCAGGAGCCGGGAGGCACCGCGGGGTCACCGTCACCGCCGCGGAGGAGGCTGGAGGAGGCCGGCTGGGCCGCGCTCCAGTGCACGGAGGAATGCGGTAACAGGATTTAAAGGAAACGTACAGAACTAACGAGGATTAAGGCTAATTGTCCTGTGAGGGGCGGCAGGATGTGGCCGTGCGGGGAGCAGCTCTGTTCTGTGAGGGGGAAGGTCTGGTAGTTGGGGCCTTGTTCGTGGAAGGGTCAGGTAGGTTTTGGTTGGTTTAGTTGCTGTGTGTGGAGAAATGGAAAATAGTGGATTGGAAACGAAAATAAAGTTGTGCTCTCCCTTAAAGACTTCAAGGCTGTTAGAGCAAATATTTCTGCAGTTGGTGGGAAGCATGCTCCAAGTGCTGGTTCTCGTCGTGCCTCGGCTCTGTTTTTGCTGGCTTTGCACAACTGCTGCTCTGTGCAGGGAGCCGATGTCCCCTGACTGCTCGTCCTGGGGCTGGCAGGAGCCTCTTGCTGAAGGACTTTGCGTGCCAATGAGTTTGTTTTGAGCAATGGCATGAATGTTGTTGGAGGTGTTCAGAGGACCCTGCCGCCCCTCGTAGGTCAGGCTGGTTATCAGGTCTTGCAGAAAGGCCATGGGTATCTCTGAGCTTGAATAAGGGGGGGATTTAAGAAGCAAAAGCCCTCAGGCTTCATCCTCAGCGAGCCAGAGTGTGTGAAATGCTGTCTGGAGCCAACCATCCATCATCAAGTGGTACTAGAGGGCAGCCAGGCCAAAAAGAATTATTCGCATTGTATTTCTGCACTTTGGGGAAGATCTGTTGCAACCTGGAATAAAGTGAAGTTTGCATGTGTCCAGGCCAGAGCATGGAGAGATGATGCCCTTCAAGGCTGCGGGACCCTCCAGGCAAACTCCTGTTTATTTGCCTTGTGTCAAGGGAGGGGATCAGAGTGGGGTCTGGGGGCACCAGGGGTGTGATTCTCAGAGGGTGTGGATGGACAAGTTGCCCAAGCAAACTCATTCTTCCTTGGGCCTTGGGATTTTGATGTTCCTGATAGAAGCAGTCCAAAGCTCAGTTTGGCACTCAGAGGTGCCTTGAGTGACACTGGGGGTATGCAGAGACACAATAGGTGCCTGGTTTCCCAGCTATTAGATTACAGCTGGACTTTGCCACACCTGAACCCTTAAACCTTATTGGTTTTTTTTGTTTATACTTCAGTTACCACAAGTCCTGACTCCAAAAACCCCAAGCAAGCAATACTCTTGCAAATGGAGAAGACAGGGTTTTTTTCTTGGTGCGGAGCTTGGGCTCACTTTTGCTCCCTCCCTGAGTGGGGTTCCTGGGATCAGTGGGTGCCTGGGTGTGGGTGGCTGGTGGCATGCAGGGCACCAGGAGGAAGGAGATAAGGAATTGGTGCTCTGGTCTGAAGTCCAGGCTGCCTGTGCTGTTGGGAAGAGAGCTCTGCCATTGGCAGCTGCGTGGGACAAGCAGTTCACATGGCTTTTGCTGTCGAAGCAAGGGAGTAAAAGCAGTGCTCCTGTCCATGTACTTAAGACTTTTGGGTGGCTTTGGCTGGTCCTGGCTCTTTGCTGAGCCCTGCATCCAGCTTACTCTTCTGCCTGTCCAAAACTACCCAAGGCAGGGTGAACGAGCGTGTCCTTACAAGTGGAAAACATCGCCCAGCTACTTCCCAGATATTTGTGTATTTATTCATACACTGCCCTTTAATGTAGCTGTTTGCAGTTGTTCTTGTGTTTTTGTTTGGGTTTGTTTGTTTGTTTCTTGGTTTTTTGGGTTTTTTCCCCCTTCTGTGTAAAATTGGTTTCAGAATTGGAGCAGGTTCCGCAGTGCCTATTTTGGACCCCACAATAGGGAATTAATCCCTCTAGAAGCTAATTAACATCTCTCTTCTGTTCCAATTTATAGATTAGATTATTGTTTGTATAAAGCCTGGGATATTTTTTTAATTTTATTTTAAGTCAAAAACAGGAAATTGTGGCTGAATTCCACAAGCTTTGTTTCTTATTTGAGGAATTAAAAACATCTTCAGGTTTTGGGGTTTTTAAAAAATTTCTTGCTTGGGTCACAGCTGCCCGTTTGCATGCCCTTAGTGCTCTTACTGCTATGGAGCTCATGGAAATGGTAGCTTTGCTTTGTCTTGTGCTGCACGTGTGGTTTTGCTTGTGCAAGCAGGAAAGCTTCATTTCTGTTGAGCTCCTGCATAGCTGATAAAATTGGAAAGGGGGGATGTTCAGGGGTTTTGGCCACACAGCCACAGTTCCAGTGCCTTGGGGCGGTGGTGCTTGCCTTGAAATGTGCCAGTGCCACCAGTTGGGAGAGCAGTGGCTTCCAGTGGTAGTGCAACTCTCAGGTGAGATCTGTCTTACTGAGTGCCTCCAAAAAAACATTAATGTCTTACATCCTTCTGAGTTTGTTTTATAATTTTTTGGGGTATTTTTCCACATGAAGCACAATCCTCAGAATCATAAGGGTCATCTGCTGCCAGATCTGGGACTTGCCAGGGGATGACCAGTCTGCTGGCACAAGCAGGTGAGCCGGGGTGCATCTCACAAGAACCTACTGTGTGGCTCTGAAATACGTTTTTGTGCATTGACACTGGAATCAGCTGTGTTTGAAAAGGAAAGAATTACTAAAAAAGTGGTTGCCAGTGGCATATTTCTGCTTTTTCCTGCCTGCCCACATGTGGTGCCACCCTGCACTGGTGTGAGCATCCCTGGAGGTGCTTGGTGGAGGGTCTGGGGCATGCAGAGGGAGAGAGGCCAAAAGTGGAGGGAGAAAATGTTAAGGAGGAAAAATACTCCAATTTAAATTACATTGGTTGTGATGGAATCAGTTTTGGTCAAAGGCTGCTTTTTTTCTAGCAAATAGCTGAAAGCTTTAGGGGAGAAAAAAATACAAACAGACAATTTTTTTTTGTGTTTGTTTTGCCTTCTTAATGGGGAATTTGAGGAAAAAAACTGAGAAGTCTCACAACGAAAGTAACTGTCTCCCAGCCACATCTCTTCTGTTTGCTGTTCCTTATGCCTGAGGCTTCTGTAATTCTGTGTATTTGCTGTTCCAAATGGATTCTCTTTCCTGCCACCCCTTTTGCCCCATTTAATTGCATGAAATTATACTTGGTGAGGTATTTTTGTATTACCCTGGTAAAATCTGTTGGCCAGTCTCTGTTGAATTTTGTAATCTTGGTTGCTGGCTGCATGCAACTTCTTTTTCCTGTGGCTTTTACCCTTAGGTAAAGGTTAAGAATTAATGACTGCAGGTATTGATAGCTGATAGAGGGGCTTAGCCATCCCAGAGATGGGTTGGTCTATCTGTATCCAACCTCCTCACCAGAGAAGTGGGAAAAATCCAGTAATTTTCTGCATACCTTGTCCCTTGTATAACACCACTCACTTAATGTGTGTAGGCAGAGACATGTTATGAAAACTGTTTCATGCCTAAAGAATTCGTTGATAATAAAGAGAATTTGCATTTCCTAAGTTCTCACTCAGAGATACCGAGGAGGGTTTTTTGGTTTTGTTTTTTAAATTATGGTTTAAAATGGTTTTCATTGAACGTTTTTGTCTTAGCTAGAGCCAGGGAGAATCCTCTAGTTAGCCAGAGTTATTTCCTTTTCAGATTTGTTTAAATAATAAGTTTAATTATGTAATATTTTAATATTCTTTTTTCCCCTCTTGCCTTATTTGTATATTCAGGTCTTTGTGTGGTTTCTCTCTCTTTTGATGTTTGCAGAAATGTATTATCTTCATCTGTCTGGTTTGTGTTTGGTGTGCCACTAATTGACTCAATATCCTGTTTGTTGGAATGAAAGCAGGCTCTATCATGGCATATTTTTCCAGGGTGTAAAACCTTGCAGTATTCGGGCCACCCTGTCGGGTAGGAAATTGTTGGCTGTGCTGTGGAAATGAAGCAGTGATGGTATTTTTCCTCAGGTGAGCTGGGTTTTAGATTTTAATGAACTCTTTAAACCTCACTGAAGGCAAGATCCTGAATCCTCCTTGCTTAGACATCACCTGCAAAGGGCAGAGTCCCCAGCCCAGATGTGCTGTAGAGAGTTTTTGGGTTTCATCCTTGGGGTCTTCCACCTGAACCTCTCCATTGCCCCAACCTCAGTTTGAGTGCTGGGCAGAATGGGATCTCACTTGACCAGTGGTGCTTCTCTGGGCTGGTATGGAGAGCAGAGACAGATCTTTGTCTTTTGTTTGGGACTGAGGCGCTGGGTTAGGAGTGTGGGAAGGGCTCTTCTGGTCTATCGCTGCCCAGGAGGGATATCCCAAAACCACTCCAGTTGACCTCAGCAGACAGCATTTACCCAGACTTGGTCCTTCAGGGACTGGCTCTGTCATCAGGTCCAGGATGAGCTTTGCAGTGGTTATTTGGACCTGGGAGGGTGGTTGCAAGAGGCCTCTTTATGTCCTAAGTTGCTCTTTCCAGTAGAAAATTAAATTTCTTAATGTGCATTTGGCTTAATGTACACACATGGATATAAATCTCTCTTGTTCTCTGCACTCCCTGACCCTCTTGGCAGTAAATTTGGGAACCGAAAGCTGTCAACAAAGCAAAATGGAAAAATAGAAGCCAGACAGACCTCTGTTGTATACGATATTTTAAGTAACTATAGGTACGCACTGTGGAAATAATTAGGATTATTTGTTGTGTTGAAGGGAGGTATGTCACTGAGGTATTGTGTGTGCACTGCCATTCCCATGCCTGCAAGATGGATTAGCAGCTGAGTTAACAGATGCAGTAAAGCTCAGCTGAAAATAGTTCACTGTTGTTAAGTGTAGGTGAAAGGGCTTTGGTTTGGGTATCAAAGAGTGTATTTTGACTGCTTGACAAGTTCGCAAAAAAAAAAAAAAAGAAAATCATTTCACTATTATAAGCTTTCTCTGTGAGTCTGGGGAATTTTTTGGTGCCATTAGAGTAATCAGCAAAAAACTGAAATGCACATTGATTAATAACCTAAGTGGAAGTGCAGGGGAAACAAGTGGCTTTAACATTAATAAGGCAAATAAACCATTTATATAAAACAGTTGCTAATTGGGTGGGATATTAAATATATTGCATGCTGGCTCATGGTGCCA